GAGACATGATACAGGGCCAATATTCATTGAACGAAGGGACCAGCTAGGATTGTATGGTTGGAGGAGGTCTCAAAGATAGGGTGAAGGGAGACAGTGGAGGGATTTGAACATGGGAACAAGGAACCAATGGAGCTGAGTGAGAATGGGTGTGGTAGGCTCATGGAGTGATGCGGGAGAGGATATGGTCTAAGGGTTCTGGATAGTCTGTAGCTTTTGTAGAGAAGAGCAGGAGAGTCCAGTGAACAGAGCAATGGCATGGTAAACCGGGACGTGATAAAAGCAAGATAAAAAATTTCCTCTGTTTCTGTTCACATTAATTTTAGTGCCTTGGATGTATGAGCTGTTGAGTCGGATTCGTGAGAGGCAATGTGTCCTGTGCTCCCAATGCAGCAACTTTCAGTCATGCACTTAAAAGGGGATTTTCTCACAATAAACACATCCATTAAAGTTCCTTCATTCAGCCCAAGCAGAATAGCTCCTCAGAGATTTCTTCAGCAGCCATTAGGCTATGATAAAGCGATGCTCATCTCATGGTATCACTTGCTCAAGGGTTTTGAAGAAAAGATATTCAGTTCAATTGTTCTTCACCTTCATCAATAACCTGATGGATGTTATTAAAGTGATGGTCATCCCTTTGGTTCTATTTTACCTTCAATGCCGGACTAGCAAGTCAATAACTTTGCTTAGCTGTATTCTGTAGAGGTGTCAATGCCCTTGGGCTGAAAGCATTCAGCTCCTTGTCTTGACATCCAATCTATGAACGACCTGACACAGATATCTGAATCTTCTGGCAGAAAAATGGAAATCTTTTAAAATGCATTGACCCTATTTATCACTATTACCTTGGGATTTCTAAAGAGCTTTAGCAGCTCAGAGATGGTATACTCCAGTCCTGCCTCCTCGTCTTAAACTCTGTGCAGAACCCAACCTTCCCTTCCTCTAACATGTCTCAGTCTTGGATATGGATTTGAGGCCCCCAATTGGCCACAATATGCTAATAATCCAGGTTGAGACTATGCACCACCAGCTGCTTTATCCAGGTCCTCACATGTCCTCCACCTCCAGGGTGCTTGCAACTTGAATGACATACAGTCTTGACAATTAATTAATTTGCAAATACTCTATCCCCAAATTATTTCGTCGTCGTCCCCTCCGCTGTCAGAGATATTTGATATTTCTTATTGTGAAATTCTTACCAATTACAATTGAAAACACAAGATGCAGGTATCTTCCTTTGGTTAAGTATTATGTGGCAATTCACTGGAAGGCTTGTCCCTGTTTGCATGCTATTCCCTTCATCATTCTTTCAGCACTCTCAGGGGGCTAACTCTAGCAAACATTTCACTGTGTAATATGTTGTGAGAAGTCTCTAGGTGATGGACCTTGTGATACACACAAAACTATTTTCAAATCAAGAAAACTGGAAAAAAATAACTGCACTAAATTTCCACTAAGAATAGGCCCTGGTGGTGAGGCTTCCCCTTCACATTGTATTCACAGAGACAAAAGTTTCATTTGGATGGGATTAGGGGATGGGAGAAAATGGGTCTGGGGGTGTTCAAAACATCAAAACACAGAAATCCACTGTGCAGAAGGAGGCCATTTGGCCCATGGAGTCTACACTGGCTTATAGAGTAAGGCAATCAATTCACTCGCACTGCCCAGCCTTATCCCCATACCCTTCAAGCCCTTCTTAGGTTGGAGGAGAGACAGGTTTACCAGCATATATATAATAATAATTATCTTTGCATTTGATATAGAGCTTTTCGTGTTTTCTAGACTTCTCAAAGTGCTTCACAGAATATATAGTAAAGTAAATTGACTGTATATTTGTGGGCAAAACATATATATTTATGTATATAGGAAAGAGCGCTCACTATGTGAAATAGACATGTGATCCAAATAGCAGTCACATTTGCTATAAAATCAGTCACTACACTTGACCTGTGAAGGCTTTGAGATGTTTAACCACGTTGAGCCTGGTGAAGCGCTATACAAGTTATTTCTTTGTTTCAGTCCCACACAAAACAGTAGCCTGATTACCTCTTCCAGATCAGTTAGTCCCATCCTCCTTTCGAGTGCATGTTAGGAAGATAGAGTCCATATGGTCCATAGAGCCTGTTCTATTGCCTCTTTATTGGATCCTGGCAAGTTCCGTTCCTTTACCTTTCTCCATTCACCTTTGTCCAATCCCTCCACTATGCAGCACTGCCAACACATTATCCTACATGAAGGGTGCTATATAAATGCAAGTTTGTGGTTGTTGATATCCTTACTTCCCAAGTATTTTTTGGTAAGTCGGGTACATGAAATGCACGGAAATCCCATCACTATCACAAAAGAGACCCCAAACCAAAGTCCTAAGTGTTCCAAATATACTAAGAAATCTCCCTTTGTCTGGATTGGGGTGTGCCTGCCGTCCTGGAGAGATGCAAGAAGATTTTGTCTTGAAACTAGTAGTGCAGAACAAGGGAGAATTCTTAAATTTGGCCTTTACATTTGACAAAGTTACATTTATATAGTGCCTTTCACCTCAGGAGGATATCCCAAGGCGCTGAGTTCAGGGTTTGCACCTGGATTTGGGGACTGAGAGGTTTGGGCAGGGGAGAGAAAGCTGTCCAAAAGCATGGTCAGAGAGAAAGGTTGTGAAGGACCTTGAAAGAGGCAAGGGTGAGTCGAAGGGACTTCGGAATGGAGTTCTTCCTGAGAGAGGCGGCTTTGTTTAGAAGATGCGTTTTGCCCCAATTCTTCAAAACTAACTTCCCAAATAATACTAAATTTAATGATTTCCCATGACTCTGAACTGTCTTAAATTTTAAGGCTAGGTTGAATTTCGTGCCTCTGGTCTTAGCTGCAAGATTTTTTTTCTTAAAATTTTAGATGGTATGGAGTTGTGGAAAATAGTTAAATCTGATCCCAATTTAGAAGGTTGATCAGATCCTGAAATCCAATTCCACTTTTTAAAATTCTGTAGGGAAACTGGCTTTCCCAGTTAACATGTTTCTTGAAGTTTGCGGTAGCTTGTGAAATTTGGCACTGTTAACTATATGCTAATTAGCACATGCTTTCAGTTTAGCAACTTTGTGATAATTACGCATTGACTGGTCCCTGGGTATTCAGCAAGTGGAGCGGTCCCCTCCCCCCCCAAATTCTTTCTCCAACACCTGAGGATCTGGTTATACTCCAGTTTCTGATTATTGGAATTTTAGTATGTGATCCAAGCATTGGAACGCTGTTTAGTGAGATACCACTTTACCTTGCTTTTTTTCTCAGTTAAGCCTGCTAACTTAGCCTGTCCAAAGCTACGGTCTGAAAGCTGAAAACTTCAGTGTACAGTTGAGTCTCAGAAAGTGTTGGGGACAGAAGGGTAAAGGGTCCACCTGAAGTCAATGTGTTGACAATCAGAAGTGGCTAATTTATGCTGTGTGTATTAATCAGCACATAGGTGCTCATTATCCCACCGCAACGTTTATCTCATTGTTTTGATTCCACAATTCTGTTCCTTGTGCAGCAAATAATGGCTGATTGGCAGCAACTGAGATTAATCTGAAATCAAAACTCAAGCCTCATTTCCTCCCCCCCCCAGTCATTTCCAGCCTTTGTTAGGTTGTCTTAATTTCCCCTCTCAATGTTTACCCCTCCCCTAATCATAGAAATACCAACCCACAGGAGGTAATTCAGCGAATTTAGTTTGTGCTGATATTAGCTGCTCCTCTGGAACTATCTGTGCTTTGTGACGTCCTCCCAACGTGAAAGGCGCTATACAAATGTAACCTTGTTGTTGTTGTATCTACTCCAATCTTAATTTCTTCTCCAACAGCTCAAAATTCCACTTGTTCCTTGCTCAAGGCCATTGTTTAAACATTTAAAAGTGAGTGGAAGTATGTCTTAAGTATACTCTTTATTTGGAAATTGATTTTCTGCAATACTGTGAGAAACATTAACTTCCAAAATACAAGACCTGAATTTTAATACTTGAGCTTAAAAGCATAAGGAAATTCCAGCCTTGATGAATATCTGTTTCCCATTACATCATTTTTCAGCTCAGCCTCAATAGTCACTTGTAGCAAAGCATTCTGTATTCCAATAATCCTCTGTGTGAAATGTTTCGTGTAACCTCCCACTTAACTCCCTTTCTTAACAATTCATTACCTAGCAACAATAACCTTTCTCTGTTAGAAACATAGGAAACAGAAACAGGTGGATGTCATTCAGGCCATCAAGCCTGTTCCAGGAATTTAATAGATCTTGGTAGATCTTTTACTCGCAATGCCCTACCTATTCCCCAATCCCCTTAAGACTCGAGTGATTCCATTACTACATCTTTCCTGGAGCAGAACTTTCCACACCGTCACTGCCCCATGTGGAGGAATGCTTCCTAACCTTAGTTCTAACTGTCTTTGTCTGAATTGAAAGCTATCCCTCTATTCTAATGGATCCAAAGGAAGTGTGGTCATTTATCTAATTTGTCAAGCCTTTTTATTATTTTAAACACCTCAAACAAATCAATGTATAACCTCCTCCATTCTGAGGAATATAAGCACTTTGAGATGTCCTCCCAATGTAAAAGGCACTGTATGAATGTAAATTGTATTGTGTTATATAACCTCAGTCTCTCATCATTGGAAATTGATTTGCTGCAATACCCAAACAACTGTGAGTCCCTTCAACCCAAGCACTAAACTAGTGAAATGTCACGGGACGCCCTCCAAGGCTAGTATGTCCTGTGTTTACCACTAAAATAAACTGAAACTGATCCCCTAAAATATCAGATGCATTGATTTTTGAGCATGGGTGGTTGGGGGTAAGGGGAAAGGATGATAGCTTCGAAATGATTGTGGGTGTGAAAGAAGAAAAAGAAATACTGTGGTTTTTGCTGGTAAGAAAGTTGCCTTAAAGTGTCTTTTTTCGTTAAATGAAATGCTTTGTGAAACTGTGCTCCTTCGTATACGTAAGACATAAGTCAAGGTTTATTTACACCAGCCATTGCCTTGCCATAGCAAATGGACGCTATAATTCCAGAAGCCAGTCACTGAGGTCAATAGACAACAGAAAGTGGCAAGACATTGACGGGTATCAACGCTACGGATATTCCCTTTCTCAGACAGGTAAGCGGTGAAATGTATGGCGACCTTTGCCCCTGCTTCCCTCCCCCATTCCTGAAGCCATCATGCGTGTGTCTTCCAGAGCTCTTACTGTTGCAGTATGTGCACATATATTTCATGCCGTTGTCTCTCTGTCTCACTCCCAAACTCGTATGACAGTGTTTCTGCCCTGCAGTCTGTTCCGGGAAGCTCTACTATGTACCTTTTGTGAGGCTGATGGATGATAAAATATTTTCTTAACTTGAGCTTTGTGGGATCATATACAGAGGGGACCCTTCATCAGGTGAGAAACAGGGTGAGAAGTGGCAAAATAGGACACTAATAATCATCTTAATTTCTTTCCTCTTGCCCAATAACCCCACTCCCCGTTTTCCCATGTATATAAAGTCAGGTGATTCACGAAGAAATGAGCAGATTTAAACTGTGAAACGTATTAGAAATGAGTGTAAGGTGGGACTCTGTAATGTTCAAACTGTGGAGTCAAAACCCAACTTAATAAATGACAAGTTGTTATACTCAAGTCAACATCACATTTCAGAATCCATTTCGACCAGATCTTGACCTGTCTCCCGCAAAACCTGTATTTTTTACTTTTATCACCCCGGACTACAAATTCCCATTGACGGGTGCCTCCTAAGTGGGCAGAACAACCCTCTCTGGACCGCTGGTAACCTCCAAGAGCTCTACTCAACAAAAACTGGACATGACCTGATGAACTGAGACTCCTATTTCTTGCAAGAGTTTTGCCTCCCCCTTTTGCAGGTATCACATGGTCGTGCACCTTCACCTAAGCTGCATCTTTCCTCCAAAGTGTTCCCTTGGTTGGTCTCAATGAGGCCTTGTTGTAACTTGGCTGAGTTGCATACTTTCAGCAGATCTTAGACCTCATTGTATGGCATGGATTCAGCTACATATTCTTTCTCCTTTAGAATATTGAAGGTGAAGGACCTTAGAGAGGTTATTTTAAAAAGGATGAAAATGTAAAACTAGAAAGTAGAACAAGGGGACACATGTTTAGAATAGCCAAGAGCAATTTCAGGACAGATGCGAGGAAGCTTTTCCTTACCCAGAGAATATTTAATGACTAGAACAGGTTGCCAAGAATGCTGCAAGAGGCTGAGGGTGCATTAAATGCCACGTTTGATATGAGAGTGAGTACTGGTGATTTTCAGAGTCAGTTCCCAAAATAGTCTTAACTCAATTTTAAAGGTCGCACTTTGTGCCTTACTACATAAAGTATACTATACCAAGCTATGTTGGCAAGTATTATGAGCAGTGTTCAACAAGGTCTGGACCAAAGTGTGACAGATGAATATGAATGTAGATATACCTTGTGCAGTCCACACTGATGCCGACTAGAGACTGTGAACATGCACAAAGATTGAAGGGAGATCTGCTAGTGGAGATGGAGAAGGGATTGAGCTGTGATTATTGGTCATGCACGGAAGTGGGGATCGTCACACAGGGTGACTTAGGGCTGGTTTGTTTATCACCTATTCAGGCTATCCTTGACTGGGGAGGATGGTGGGGGCATGGGTGTAGACGGTGATATGTGTAGATTTACCTGAGTGATTCAGAACTTCTCATAAACATTAATCACCTCAGTAACATATTGTGCTAAAAACATCTTATTGGTCCCAGTCATGGGGTTGCTGTTGATGGTGCTCGTAGCTGATGTCAGTGGATGGTGTTACATACTGGTGAAAGCCCCTATTGACAATTGCTGCACTTAGCTGTGTAAGATGTTGAAATGCATTTACTAAACGCAGCTGCACCATGAACAGTGGTTTGGATCGGAACCCACTGAATTGGGTCTGCAGTTCTGCAGATCATCTTGATATGCATCATTGTGTTGGGTGTATATCTGATTTCTCTCAGATTATTTCAGACTAAACCCTGAGAGGAGACTTTATAATGTGGAGTGAGTGAAACAACAAGACAAACCCATCAGAAGCAGGTAAAGATAGGATGGTTAGTATTATTTGCAACTTGGAGTCACAATTTATCTTGAAGCAGCTTTTTGACCCATCTCAATGAAAAGGGAGGGGTTGGTTTGTAATTATAAAATTGGTCATTCACTTCATGGCTGTTTGTGGGACATTGTTGTGCGCAAATTGAATGCATCATTCGCCCGCAAAATACACAGATACTGCATTTAGAAGGAAAATTCTGTGAAACCCTCTGAGGTATTTTGACGTCATAGATACTATATCAAAACCAGGTATTATGATATCTGAGAATACTATACCACAGTTTAGAAACTCCATGCAGCAATAATTTTTTTTGGGGGGTGGGAGGGGGAGATGAGGTGAGGATGTTGCGTGATGGAGGAGTTGTGCGTAGAGGACATTCAGTGTCGGACACCCTTGTGTTTAGACTGTCTGCACAGCCGGAAAGTTGTGTCTCCCTTTGGGACCTCCGCCAAGTGCTTGGTGACCCGGATACCTGGCGGTAGCGGCTTCTCGCTTCATTCCCGCTGGTGAACGCTTGCTAACTGCAACCTTGTCAGACACATGCTGCGAGATCCCTTCCTTCAAGGAGGTGCCATCTGTTCTTCTGATTCTGTCCGCTTCAGTAATTTGAAGAGATTGGGCTATTGTAATTTGACTTGACAAGACATTTGTGTTCATTGCTTTCCCCTGTTAAATGTCATCAATTTAACCCAGGCATGTGATATATTCCATTCGTTTTTCCTACCAGGCCCCTATGGAGTAGGTTAAAACATTTTCAACAGCGTGTACTAAGTGTTCTCAAGGAGTCAACATCGTGGCTTCTTAAACATAGCCCATGTTTCCTCTGTGGAGCATGCAAGACTTCGGTTCTGATGAGAAGTTGGATCCAAACCAAAGCGATGTGATGCTGTTTGTGCCACAGGCATTTTGCCTTTGTTCTGACACCACTAGAGCTTTTTTTTCTGCCAATTTTTCCCCTCACCCCCACCAAACTTCTTTCTCTCCCTTCACAGCTCTATTCCAGATATAGCTGGCTCAGGCTGAGATACAGTTCACAAGGGAGGTTTGCCCAGAGGCCCATTTAATTTCATCTATCAACCTCCCCAGTTACCTGCTCCCTTTGCTCTGTAAAATCCAATGGAGCTGCTGCACATTCTGAACCCCCTCTGAACCAGCATTGGTGGCTCAGCTTTAACTATTAGTCTTGGAATCCTGTGATCAGTGGTTAGAGCAATCACCTTGCAAGTGAGAGACCTGGGTTTGATTCCCGGCAGGGCAAAATGTTGGGCAAGTTTCCTCTGTTTACCTAACAATAAGTAGAAACCCGGTTGTCAGTTGATTGGGGGTAATAATTCCTTCAAAAAAATTAAAAATAATGATAAATTGGTCAGTCAAACCACGATTGTTTGTTGGACACTGCTGTGTGCAATTGGCTGCTGCATTTCTCCCACAAAATATACAGTCAGTTCACGTTACAGTATATTCTATGAAGCGCTTGGAGACATCTCAAACACATGATAAGGGCTATATCAAATGCAAGGATTATTATTATTATTACGCAAACTTCTTTCTCGTTCTGTGGAGCTCTCCCTCAAAAATTTTTTATAATTACCATTAGCTTCCAGTATTCTGGATCTTTACCTTGCACCTTCTCCCCTCGCCTCCTGAAATCATATCTCTTTGATCGTAACATCCTCAGCTCCCCCCTCCGATACTCTCTGTGAAACTCGTTATCCTCTGCAGAATTGACTATTAGTGCAAGTTGTTGTTACTTTAATTGAAAAGATTTGGTGATGTTAGGCTTAATTCAGGTCTTTGAGTTATTGAGAGAAATAGATGATGAAGGTATGAGCATATTATTTGACTCACCATGGATGTCAAAACAGGTTGGCTTAGGTTTGAAATGGACAGGTCTGAAGTGCAGTTGGAGATGATAGAAGCAGTATTATTTCCTGTAGAGCAATGGCTATATGTGGAACAGACTCCCAGCATATGCAGTTCCTGTTCCATCAATAAAATCCTTGGTGACTGAGCCTTCAGCAGCTAACACTCTCCATTTAGTTCTCCGTCTCAGCCCCCTCTCTGTCGGAGTAGGTTTAGAGTGAGGAGTCTATGATAGAGTAGGTTATAAATGGTTTGGAGAAAGAGTGAGTTTGATGGACCAAATGGCCAGTGCCCATTCTACATTTTCTTATGTTCTTAAATCTTCAACAAGACAGAAACACAATTGGCTTTAAAACGGTACTTTAGGGCCTGAAAACTTCTGGCTGTTATGTGACTTGTGTATTTTGTTTTGCAATAAGCAGAAATGCTTTATGTTTGAAACATCAGATGATTTACAGCAATCTGAAGCTCGGACACTGATACAGGGCTCCGAGATCTAGGCATTGCTTGTAAGTCAGTGAACGTTTTGGGGTTTTCCCCAATGAGGCACTAGGTTAATTCACGTGTCATGTTCTAGTTGGCTATATGTTTATGAGCTGAGACGAGATATACAGGATAACAACTCCTTGTGAAACGTAATAATCTTGATTCTGTCTTTTCTCTCATATGGGCTTGCATACAATTCTGATCATCAAGAATTAAGAGAGCTACCTTAAGTTGTATAACTACCTGGAGGCAGTTCAGAGCAGAGTACAAGCTGATCTTTAGTTTTAGAGAAATGAGCTATGAGCAACGATTAGAAAAGCTAGCAAAAAAATAACTTGGGGTTTGTGAGTTTTGAAAGGAACTTTTCTCAGAGGAGATCTTATACAGGTATAAAGGTGGAAGGATTTTAGGATTGAGAAAGTAAACCCAGAACAATTATTTTACATAAATTAATCCAGCAGAACAAGATGGCACAGGGTCAGGATTACAAAGGGCAATTTTTTTTTAAACTAGAGGGTAGTTACCAATTGGAATGAGTCACCAGGAAAGTTGGTTGAGGCCAGGGCACTGGAACTCAATGATGAAGCAGCCTGATGCTGTAACAACAGGAGGTATTCTGGAAGGATGAGATCAAACAAGCTGAAGTGCTTTCTTTGTCTGAACTTCTCTTGTCATCTTGTG